TTCTACCTTACTGCTCTGCCACGGGGCCTTGACGTAAGTTTTAAAGCAATTCAAACCACTGGGTAAACTTTTGAGAAACTTCTCCCCAGTGACATCGTGGCCATTTCGTGGGCTCATCTCACTAAGGAGCGACCGGCGAGGTGGATTCGTTTCCTTGGGCTGCTGTGAGAAACCCCCACTAAGTTTAGTTCTGGGAAGTTGTGGGGAGGTTAAAGTAACAAAAATTCGTTATCTACAGTTCCAGAGACTAGGACTCCCGAATGAAGCAGTGGGCTGTGAGGAGGAACCTGCTCCCTGCCTCCTTCCCGGCGTCTGAGAGCCTCGGGCCCCTGCGTTCTGTGTCGTCTCTCCTCGTGCATGTCTGTCTCTGTGTCCAGCTTTTCTCCTCGGATTGGAGCCGATTCCAATGGCCTCCTCCTAACTTGATCACCTGTGTGGACTGTATGTCAATAAGGTCACCAGCCGGGGGACTGAGGGTTAGGGCTCCGACAGGTCCCTCTGAGGAGGACACAGACCACACAGCGTGGCGCGGCAGCCGTGTGGAGTGGGTTCCTTCTCCTCTCTCCCGGCCCCAGATGTGTCTTTCTGCCCTTCACCTCCAGCCTCCGCATCCCTTCTGTTCAGGAGGGGAGGGAAGACTCTAGCGAGTCAACCGCAAGCAGAGCGCCGATGACTACGTGAGCTGGTTCTTCCTTTCATCTGATTTCCCTTCATCTCATGCCAGTGGGTGGCGTTTTGCCCAGGCAGTCACTGTATGCACCAGGAAAAACAAAACCAAAACAGGTGCCAGAGCGAGGAGAACCCAACCGGCTGTGGCTGAGGACTTAGTGAGGTTGCTGTGGAGAGCGTTCAGCTCACAGCTCCCTCTGTCCGTGTGCAGGAGTGTGCAGTGGCCCTTTCAGTCGCTGAGTCGCCTTTCCTAACCATAGCTACCTTTGTGGGGCTGGGAAAGCCTGCCACCTCTTTAGGCAGAATCACTCCCAGCCGCCCCAGCTGGCAGCGGCGGGGGAATCTGGTTCGGCATTCACAGCCGCGGCCCTTGTCCTCCAAATTCACCTCGATCTTGTAAGTTGCGCGGGCCGCCACTGCGCCTGTCACCTTAGACTCAAGAAAGGCTCTGTTCTTTCCGAGAATGAACAGAACTGGTCTTAATTCTCTGCGGCTTGGCTGATTACAGGCCGCAGAATTTATTCTGACCTTTTAGAAGCCCCAGAGAGCAGAACGTTAATAGTATCTCCTAGATATGGTTGTATGGGGGCCCGGGCCCTCCTCCACATGTCCCCTGCAGACCTGCCGCCCAGCCCGCGCCTCTTTTGCTGCCAAGTGACTGTGCCTTTGAGTCCACACATGGCTGCGGGGACCCGGCCAAGCTCATACCCCGGTTCCTGTTAACAGGCTCTGTGTCTGGTCAGTCCAAGACCTGCCTTCCCCCGGCACGACCTGCTACCAGGGAAGGCGCTGCCCCAGAGCCCTCCCTTGGAAGATCACATCAGCACCTAATCCGATCAAAAGTCCATATAGCAGGACAAGAGTTATCTCACCGAAGCTCTCCTGGCCTTCCTACTTCCGAGTGTCACGCCCAGCAGAAAATACCTCACCTTAATGAGGAGGACAGAATTCCTTTTAAAGAATCAGTAAGACAAGTTTTCTGCCATTAAGCAGCAAATATTTCAGAACTGTGCATAAGGGCACGTATCTGCAATCCCAGAAGCTCAGAAGGCTGAGGCAAGAGGGTGCAAATCCAAGACAAGCACAGGCAATTTAGAAAGACCCTGTCTCAAAACAGACAATAAAAAAAGCAAAAACAAAGGCCTGAGGATGAGGCTCAGTGGGAGAGCACCCCTGGGTTCAATCCCAGGACCACAAAAATATTCTGAAAAATGCATGCACGCCGTATCACGGAGGAGAGAGCCTGTCTCTTGCAAGGCTTAATTCAGTGAGAGGCCAGGTTACGGCAATTTCTCCACCCTCAGTAAATTCAAAATCACACGCAAGATCTGGATACAGAGTCTCACTTCGCGAATGCAAACAGCACTAGGAAAACAGCCCGGGGCTTCCCTAACACTGGCCACCTTGAACTGCAGTGTCCCTTGCCACCATTCATTTATCCTGCTTGTCTCCTCGTACCCCAGTTACTACCATTCAAACCCACCCTTGCCTTAGAATAAAGTCCCAGACCCCCAGCGTGGACAGGAAGGATTCGGGTGACTGGGTTTTTTGCTTTTGCAGCTTTCCGTTCTCTCACCCGCCTCCTAGCACTCTGCTGCAGCCTGGATGGCTTCTTAAACAGGCGTGGCTCAAACTCCCTAGCTCTGCTCTTACTCTCTCTTCTCTGTCCACAAAGCTTTGTCTCCACTTCACCTAGACCGGTGCTTCTCAAACAGTTGATTTTACCTCTTGGGGGACACTTAGCAATGTTCAGAGTATTTTGTTGTTGCGGTTACAACTGGCCTCTAGTGAGAAGAGACCAAAGATGCTGCTGTTGTCCTACAGTGCACAAGATACCCTCCCCTGACAAAAATCAGCCAGCCCAAAACAGTGCAGAGGCTGAAAAGCCTCCATCTTTCGATCTCAGTCTAAACACCACTGCTTCCAAGAAGCTTCCTGCGAGGCTTGATCAGGTGGCACGTCTGTCCCCTCCTGGCAGTGCTGTCATCGTGCCCTTCTCCTCCACAGCTCTTGGTCCACTGGTGAATATTCAAGAGCCCGTAGCCTGTGCCTTCCCCACGAGCCTTTCAGGCCAGAGGACAGAGCAGAGTGTTGGTCCATCCCCGATCCCACGCCACTGGGCACCCGGGGCAGGCAGGTGTCACATTTTACCATCTGCCTTGGAATACAGAGGGCAGTGGTTTGCACAGATGACCTGTGTTGCTTCGCAGAGGTTGTGAGGGTTTGCGTGAGCCCCAAGTGCAGGCCCTGGACACCCCAACGGGCCCGTGAAGCCTTGGGAGCCTGACACAAATGGGCTGATCCTCGTTCCATCACCTGCTAGTTGGGTGATCTTCAGCAAGTGACTTGATTTCTCTAGAACTCAGTGTCACGCATCTGTGAAGGAAGTATACAAATAAAACCCGTTTCATGGAGTTGTGACGATGAAGAGGCACAGTATGTGAAGCACTGAGCTCCAGCTCTGACCTCGGGGAGGGGATTAATAACTGAGGCCAGCACACCACCGGGCGGTGCACTTAGTCTCAGTGTCCACCACAGCCACGAGAACTCGGAGGAGCAGTGGAAGCAGCCAGTCCCCCTTCCTCTTAAGTCCTTCGGCTCTAAATGTGGTTCTAAACGTCCCATCTGCCCCACCCACGGGCTTGGTGAGTGTACCGATAGCTCCGCACCCGAGGCAGAGAGACTGCCGGGTCATCTGCGGGTGGGCTAGGGCAGCCTGCAGACTGCCCTCCGTGTTCCCCGCACAGGAAGCCTGCCCCTCGCTGCTTGTCTGGATCCGCCTCTCCCCGACCACCTTCAAGGCCGGCCTTGCCCCGGGCGGCAGCCTTTTCCGTGGTCTCCCTATTCCTCCCTACCCTGTAAGCAGCCTCCCACCGTGTCTGAGCCCTGGTCGCAGACAGGCATCCCGGGGTCCACAAGGGTCCCTGCAGGGAGTTAGCGGCGTGTTCGCCAAAGGAGTTCAGAAGTGGTCTCACCTTTCCTTACATGCTGTGGGAGCTGGGGAAGGAGGAAGGCTTCCCATGGACAGCCCCCTTTGCTTCCTTTCCCTGCTATTTTAGACATTCAGAAACTTTCAAAAGAAACAGAGGTCTGTTTCCTAGACGGCCAGGTCAGCAAACAGAAGTATGTGTTGGAAGATGGTCGGGCCGGACTGGAAGGAACAGCTGTGTCTGTCAGAGGACAGCAGACCAGGCACGGGGAAGCCACCTGGCGGGAATCTTCAACTCCGGGAGCAGATATCAGAACCCACCAGCAGTCAGCGGTGTGCATGCCCAGGAACCTTTTACGGAACCCTCCTCTGCCTGAAGAGCACCAACGGCACGGACTTGGGAGGGGGCACGATGGGGAGGGGAGCTGGGTTTCAGCTCAGGGGGAAGGAGGCCCCAGTGCCGCAGCAGATTGTAGTCTCAGGAGAACGACAGTGACCCTGGGGCTGAGCAGCCCTCTGTCCTGTTGATGGCTTTGCTTTTTGCCCTGCAATCACTGATGCCCCACGGGTCAGTTTCCAGATCTGAGCTGATTCTCTCGCACTTCCTGGTTCTCGTTTCTTCACCTTGAAAGTCTGTGCCAGTCACTGCCTCCTCCATCTGCGAAAGAGTGTGTTGGTTTGTTCCTTCAAAACATGCAGTGAAAGATCCAGTCTCTTAAGAAGTGCGGTGGTTCCGATGCCTGGGAACCTATTGAAGGGATCATTAAGATTCAAATCAGTAACATGCCTTTATCCTGAAGTCGCTTCTTCCAATCTGAGTGCGAAGGCCTCCCGCTCAGCCAGGTCTTGTTGGGAAGCAGCAGTCTTTTGGGTTTTTGTTTTGGTTTAAATCTAATCCGTGGCTCTTTCTCATTGTGTACCATTGGGGAATTTCTTCAGCTCTCTGAGCCTCAGTTTCCTTACCTATCAAATGGGAGTAATAGTCGTACCTGTATCACACTGTTCTGAGGGTTGCATCAGTTAACATATGTGAAGTGATGAGAGAAGCACCACACACAAGGTAAGTATTCGACACATATTAGCCATGGTTGTTGTTGTTATTATTATTATATTACCTCTGGTCCGAATCCAGTCACATTCTCAGGTACCAGGGGTGAGGAGGACTTCTGCACATCTTTTGGGAGATGCACAACTTGACCCATAACACACAGCTAAGTAACGCGTTCAAGGTCACATCGCTTGTTAGTAATAAAACTGGTCCTGAACCCGGGATTATTAGCCAGCACCTTCCACGGCATAAACTCCAAGGAAAAGCCCCAACATTGCCAAACTTGCGCTGGGAAGAAGGAACCAAAGAGAGACATTCCCCGCTGCACTGACGACCTTTCCCCTTCGTCCGTAGCCTGCCTGCTCCAAGCTGAGCTGGTGAACTATGAGCGAGTCAAGGAGTACTGCCTCAAAGTCCTGAAAAAGGAAGGGGAGAACTTCAAGGCCCTGTATCGGTCTGGTGTGGCCTTCTACCACCTTGGGGACTATGACAAAGCACTCTACTACCTGAAAGAAGCAAGGACCCGACAACCAACAGGTGAGGCAGCAGTTGCTGCTTTTGTACTATCAGGGCCCCCGGCAGCTCCCGGGCCTTCTCATTGCAGCCGAGAGCGTCCGTGGCTGGCAGGGCTTGTAGGGGCGGAGATGCCAAAGCAGGACTCAGATGTGTGGGAGGCCCTGGAATGAGGGGACCACACCGTCCATGCAGTTCTCTGGGGCCTGGGTTCCAGGGAGCGTGAACGTCTCTTCTTTGCATGCAGGCCGTAGAATGTTCTGCCTGTCCCAACTTAGAATCTACCTCTCTTGACTTACTCAGTAAATACATGCAGAAGTCTTACTGTTCATCACAGTTTGTGCCAGGCACCAGGGATGTAGATAACAGGACACGGTCCCTACCCGCGAGGAGGCCGCATCTGGTTGCCACGACAGAGTATAGATGATTTCAGGGTGCGGGTTCTGACTCCCCCCTTAGATCCCGTTTCTCAGAGCTGTGTTACTACACCGAGCATTTAGTTCCTGGACCTTATCTCACCCAACCCTTCGTTTATTCATTCGTCCCACAGGTATTTGCTGAGGGGTACAGTGGGCCAGGAGCTGTTCCGGGTGGTGGGTACATAATAGTGGACCAAAGAAAGGTGCCGCCTTCAGGGAACTGCCATCATAATGGAGGATAACAGACAGTCTGCAACGGGGGAGAGAGACCGTGCATTATTTATTTAGTGGCGGCAAATGCCGTGAAGAGAGTGAGGCAGAACTGAACGAACGCTGGTGTGGCCAAGGCGGTCAGAGAGAGCTTCTCCAAGCAGGCAGCATTGAAACGGCGGCTTTGACTTGATGCTGCCGTTGTTGCTGTTCCGCCAGTTGATTTTCTTCTTTGTTTTCTTGCTTGTTTTGTGGTACCTGGGAGTAAACCCAGGGCCTTTGCGCTAAGCTACATCCCAGCCCTTTTCACATTTTTAAATTTTGAGACAAGTTCTTGCTAAATTGCCCAGGCCGGGCTCGAACTTGTGGTCCTCTTGCCTCAACCTCCCGTAGTGCTGGCTTTAGCGGCACCACCACCAGCTGGTTGATTTTTTTAAAAATGTAATCCTTCTTCCATGGAGCCTTGAGGGACTTTAGGATCAATTTGAAAATCTCCAAATGTACAATTTTTTCTTTGCTTTTTTAAAGAATACCTCTTTATTTTTATGTTCGTTTTTTCCCTACATACAAATTGTGTCCCATCAACTATATTGTAAGCAGCTTGAGGACTAAGAACTGGACTCACGCACAGACCTTTCTTGAGCACTTACATCTCAGCACTCCTCTGGGTGCCCATCTGGTACTCTGAGCATAATACAGTATTAACTTCTACTTCTAGAAGTAGAAACACTGTACCGGCTTGCCCTGTAACTCTTCTGCTCTCGTGTGTACACAGCTAAGCAATTGTTCCGTGTCATGTCCTGTGCACGCCCTGTCCTGCTAATTTAAGGACCAGAATTGGGGAGAGAGGCCCCATTTGTGGAAAGGCGGTTGACCCTACTTACAAAGACAAAAATAGGACAGTGAAGCAGTGCCATTTTAAACTCCTCAAGTTAGGAAACTTATATTCACCTAATATTTATTGATCATTGTATCAAGCATTTTTAGGCATCTCTATTTTTGTCTCACAGCAGCTTTATGAGGAGGTATTACAGTCCCCAGGAGAGACAGGCGTGGGGTGAGACACACCACTTCCTGTGTATGTCCGCAGGCATCTCCCCGAATCTCTCCGGGACCCGTCTTCCCTGCCCTTTTGTCACAGTGGGGACGAGGCTGCCTGCGTGGCAGCATTGCAGGGAAGATTGCATGAAATAATGGAGCTTGCACCTGGCGCGAAGTAGGCTTTCAGAAGCGAAGGTCGCTCCTTGCAGATGAGGCCTGAGGGTCAGAGAAGTTGGTAACTTGCCTCAGGGGAATTTCCATAACTCAGTGTGTGGAACTGGGAACCGCTGGGGTTCCTGCTGCAGAGAAGTGGGAGACGCGTCTGTCCCTTGGGTCACCGTGACCTGTCACGTGTCTGTCCCTTGGGTCACATTTGCTGAGGCCAACATCCGGCTGCTTTTTAAGCCATCGCTGTGGGAAGGCAGAAGGGACCTCGGCGGAGTGACAGTCTGGCTCGTCCCTGAGGCGCAGACCCAGGCTTGGCCCCGTTCTGGGTGGATGCCCTTGCTGCCCTCACTGGGCGTCCCTAAGGTGCATTTCTCTCCTCGCAGACACCAATGTGATTCGGTATATCCAGCTGACCGAGATGAAGCTCAGCAGATGCTCCCAGAGAGAGAAGGAAGCCATGTAACTAGAGGGCCTCTGCAGAGCTGCACCCATCCTGACCGAGGACTAACAGGCACCCCCGGTGGACGGCCTGCCCAGCTCTGTCCCTCTCCCCCGACTTCTGCCACCTTCCCCTTCGTCCTCCCGTCCCCCCAACTCTTTGTGTACTCCTAATGTGAAAAGAAGGTGAAAAGCACACTTGGAACCTGTGAGGTCCCAGACGGGGAGTCCCCCGTTCTCCCGCAGGTCAGTGACGGAAGGCGCCTAACTTCTGCTGGGACAGCTGCCAAGGCGTCTCATGGGCTGGGGACGCCACCGTGGCTTTGACTTTGGCCAGAGCTTCTGTCGGGGGCAGAGCCTGGCAGGTGTACCACCCCACAGACAGCGGGCGTGGCGCCTACCGTCTGGACCCTTCCGTACCTTTCTGATGGACCACGGCGTCTCGAGGCAATTGTAACAAAGCCAGGGATGGCGCCGGCACCAGAAGCACTGGACGGGCCGACATAGAGACTGACTTTACACACTGGCACACCACCACGCCCTCCAGGACCTCGGCCCCGCCACCTCCCCCACTTGTTGTCTTGGCTTGTGCTCTCTTCTCTCCCTCCCGGGGATCCGAATCTCTGCCAGGATTCACATGCCATAACCACCCACTCTCGGTGCCCTTTGCTGACCACACATACCAGCTCCCAGCCAGTAGGCAGCTGTGACCACAGAAGGACAGGGTGAAGCGGGCCAAGGGTGGGGCAGGGCAGCCCTGCAGGTGACGATGCCCAAGGACAAGGGCATCGTGTAAGCTGGGGGATTGGACTAGGGACTAAGCAAGTGTAAATAAAAATCAACTTATGGGCGGAAGTTCCGTCACTTCTGTTGAAAGCAGCCCACTCCTCCACTTTTCCTTCTGTCCCAAGCTGCAGTCGGAGCTGCTTACGGCCAGGAAGCATGGGTCTTCCCTGACAGTGCCTGGCCACTTGTCCGGTGCTGTATACAATGCTGGCTACAGCGTTTGTGCTTTCCAATGTGGGCCGGGAGTGTGGAGACAGCCCTGGGCGTTGGCTTTGTGAGAACTTGTACAGCCTCTTTCTGATAAAATTAGCTGAACTCAATATCTAGCACATAGAATGTGTTCAACAAATATTTGTTGAATGAATAAATTATGACTGCAGACTGACTCTCCTGCCTTACACTAATTTTATCCTGGCCTAGTCTCCAGATATCTATGCTCTTATGCTATGCCTTGTTATTTCAGTCAAATGAGAGACGGTTCTTGAGGGCTTACTGTTCACCCACTCTAGTGCAATATTATTGCTGTGGGATACAGGATCTCATCCTGGTCTCCCAGGAGATGGAAATGCATATGAGATTATTACCAATGACATCTTTAACTTATATGATGCTTAAACATTTTCAGAGCACTTTCATGTATTTTTTGTGTGATTAGTGAGACAATGTACAAAATCAAAATATATACAGATGCAATAATGTGAATAGCTAGGATTTATTAAATGCACTATCTTCAGATATTTACATGGACAATCTCATTTTTTTTTTCCACGCACTTACTCTTGTGAGATTCTTTTCCCATGCGATGGATAAGAAAACTGGAAACCAGAAAAATTATGCCAAGGTTGCACGGCCTGGAGGGACACCGCAAGGATCTGAACCAGCTGAGTCTAGCTAGTAACCTCCTATAATTAGTTGCCTCCCCAGATGTGCTATGTTGAGCAGTTGCAACCGTTTGAAATGAGTATAGTGTGCATTAAGTTGAAAACTATTTACCACGTCGGCGGTGGCACGCAGGCCTTCTCTTGGCCTTTACCCAAGACGGAAAAGACCACAGATCAGAAACCCCGGTGACCAGAACAGTGGCAGGCCAGGAGAAGGCACCTGAGACCCAGCAGGGGCTTCTGTGGTTTGTCCAATCTCCTTGCTGATGAGGTCAGCCCACCTACCCTTTCTTGCCCCAGTCCACCCCCAGCACTGGGAAAGAATAACAAGTATAGCGCAGACTGAGAAGAGACACAAAGCTGATCATGGGATATCTGTTCAGGCAGAAGCTCTGCCACTGCAAGATCCAATCACTGCCAAAGGGCCCACAAGCTGGCATCACAGGTCGTAGTCATGTAGCTTCCCAAAGAGTTTCAACGGGGCTGCCAGAAGGTGGTAGGAATTCCCAGGAGTCCCCAGCTGCCTACCTCTAGTTCTCACCCTGCAGAAGAGGAAAATGATGAAGCCGTTCCAGCTGCCGCATTCCCTGCTCCTGTTCCCCTACCTCTACCGTATCTCTCTATTCTCTTTCTCCATAATGGCTTTCCGTAATCTCAGCCCAGAACTACTGTCAGGCCTAGCACAGGAATACACGCAAAACTCCCTCCCTCCCACGCCTCTGGACTAGAAAGTTAGTGAGATGCAAAACTGTGTGTTAGCATCTGCAGAATGGAAATGAGGTCAGAGGTGGCTTGCAAACCGGCTCAGAATGTCTGGGTTTCTTTGTTCTTCCTGCGTCAGGAAGGATTCTAAGTGATTACACCCAACGTGGAGGCAGGAGAGACATCTTGCTTAAATGGGTGTATTAAGGATCTGGACAGATGGGGCTAAGGCTGTCGCTGTCCCAAGGAGACAGAAATCAGAACTAGGTCAGGACATCCTCATAGAACAAGGGTACAGGCCCGTTGGCTTGCCTGGCCACTCAGACACACTCGCTTAATATAGGGCTGTAGTCACTGACCCAAACTTAAGTGATTCTCCCCCAAAAGCTGCGTGGTATGTTGGTTAATGTCTAGGGTGCTAGAGCTGAATTCTGTGTGCATTTGTCCCACAGAGGCTTCAGAGAACTGTTAAAAATCGTTACAATCAACTGTTAAAATCAAGTTTGTTCACTTACTCCGTCCCCAGCATCCTTCTCTCTGCCTGCCTCCTACAAGCAGAGAGCGATTTTCACCGCATGCTTTTCAGGTATCACTACTGACCGCTATACCCAGACTGAACACTCACCCTGGATCTACCTGCGTCATCATCTTCTGCCTGGGCCTTTGCGGTAGAGTCTTTGCAGAAAAACGTTTTACCTTTTGTTTAAGTATGAGAGTTTCATGTGTATATTGTAGAAAATTTAGGGGAACAAATGACAAAATTCAACTCTTAATCCTCTACCCAAGACAGCACATTTTTTTCCTTTTGGATGTATGTTTTAGTTCTATTTGGTAAAAATGTGTGCACATGTACACGGTGGGGGCTTTTAGTTTGTTTTGTTTTGTTTTTTGAGGCAAGGTCTCCCCGTGTAGTCCTGGCTGGCCTCAAACTCACTATGTAGTCAGGGCTGACTTGAACTCACGGCGATCTTCCTGCCTCAGCCTCTTAAGTGCTGGGATTACAAGCATGCACTATCAGGCCAGCCACAATGTTGTTTTTCTTTTTTTTTTAAAAAAAGGAAAATAAAAACAGATCACACTGTATGTACTCTTTTATAACTTCCTTTTCAAAATGTATGTATTTTAGGATTTGTAGCACAGATATAAAAAAACTCTATAAAGTAACTCTACCTGCCATGTTTGCCAACAGCAAGTGTCCCTCTAACTTTTTTTAGTTTCTTTTCTTTTCTTTCTTTCTTTTTTTTTTCTGGCACCGGGAATCAAACTCACAACCTCATGCTTGCCAGGCAGGTACTGTACCGCAGAGCTGTATCCTTAGCCCTCCTCTAATTTTTTGTACATTCTTCCACAGATACATATTTTCAAACACATATTCTTTTATAGAGCTGGGGATATAGCTCAGTGGCATAAGCGCCTGCCTGGCAAGCGCAAGGTCCTGAGTTCGATTCCTGGTACAAAGAAAAAATTCACACATATTCTTTTATAATTCAACAATGGTAGCATACTGGACAACTTTTTGCTCTTTCTGTTACCTACCATGTCATGAACATTTTCTGCATGTCTTTCAGACTTACCCAAAGCATCATTATATGGATTGACCCTCATATTGTAATTAATTCCCAATAGTGATTATTTCATTTGTTTCCAATCTTCACTGTAAATAATGTCGCAACTGGCATTGTTTGTAGCTACATTTTTGCATATGTCTGTGATTGTTTCCTTAGGCTATAGTCCAAGGAGGAAATTGCTTGGCTATTTTTTAAGAATTTTTGTACATGTTGTCAATTGCCCCCTAAAAATATATACCAAAACAGTGTCCTATGTGCAGCCCCCAGAGTGTCCTGTCCCCTGTACCCCAATACTGGATATTGTCACTTAATCAGATCTTTTATTAATTTGATAAAATAATATGTGTCAATGTTAATTCAGCATGTTACTTTAACATTCTTTATTAGTGAATAACATTTTCATCTGCTTGGTACCATTTGTATTTATTGCCTTCTGAATTTTCTGTTTATTTGATATGGGTATGTTTATCTTTATTACCAATGTAATTTTAACAATATTATTTTTATCATGAAATGCTGCAGCTATGCTTTCCGAGCGCTGCTTTGCTTTCAGATTTTGTTCATGGTGCTGTCTGACATACATAAACTCGTCATTCTGCAATTAATTTGTTGCTCTCTTGCCAGCCTCTCCTGCCTCCTGTTTATCCTCCCATCTCTGTCACAGTGACCTTCTAAAACATGATCTGACCTTGTCACTCCACAGCATAAAAATGTTTCATACCTCTTGTCATTTTTGGACAAACATTGTTTTGTTTTGTTTTGTTTTGTCTTTTTGAGACAGGGTCTCACTATGCAGTTCAGGCTGGCCTTGAGCTCACTTTGTAGCCCAGGCTGGTCTCAAACTCACAACGATCCTCCTGCCTCAGCCTCCGAGTGCTGGGATTACAGGCGTGCACGACCAAGCCTGGCATTTTTGGACAAACGCTGAACCCCTTTACACAACTCACAGTCTTCTGTGTTTCTTCTCCATCTCACTTTCCCAGGCTCACCTTCTGCCCATTCCCCAAAGTACCCCGGTTCCACTGTCACGCGGCCTTGAACCACTGTGCCGGGCCTATGAGCCCTTCCCCACCGCTGCCCCTGTTCGCTGTCTGTCCCTCACCCCATCCGCACTCTGCGCCGGCGGGCTCCTGCAGGTCTTGGCCTGGGATCACTGCTGCAAAGCCTTGGTCTGTGCCCCCGCAGCAGCACCAGCCGACCCCTGTGGCAACTAATTGGACCTCCCTTTCTCCCCCGCTACCTGGGTGCCCCTCAAGGCAGCAGCGCGGGTTATCCGTCTTTGCAGCCAGAATGTCTAGCACAACACTGGCCCCATTCTAGATGCTGAAAAGCTGTTCAGCGCTGAACCTGGAACCCATGAATAATGGATTTGGGGGCAAATGTTACTTGTGGCAAATGCAGGGCTGGGCCGGATCTGTGCTTCTGAGAAATGAAGTCATCCGAGCAGCCACGTGTTCCGGCCCTGTGCTTTCCAAAACATCACAATCATTGGAAGAGCTTCTTCAATATACATAAGCCCAGCTCTGCCTCCTACCCAGTGAGCCCAACTCATGGGGCTAATGCTCAGCATACTGCAGTTTTTAGAACATGCTGAAGTGCGTTGGGAGGCCACTGCTGAAGTAGACCAGCGAGGCCACTTCGGAGCGCCTGGTCCCACCGTTTCAAAGGACATGACCTATGGGAAAGGACAGGTGAGGCTCCGTTTGAATACCAGCTTTAACGTCTATGAGCTGTGGGGCCCTGGGTGTGACCCTAGGACAGCTGCTTAACGTACTGACCCTCCTGTTCCTAATCTACACGCAGAGACCATGTTATGTCTCTGTAAAGGGTGACAAGGGAATCAAATGACTGTCTCGCAGCTCAGTGCTTGGTACCAAACAAGCATAAACATTCATTTCTCTCCCCCACCCTCCTCGGCCTCAGTTTCCCCACTTACAGTGCGGCTGTTAATGCCTATATGTTTGCCTTCAATAATCCCACAGCTTGTACTCTAAACAGAAGCGACCTCCCAACAAGCCCTTGGCTTACACTCAGGTAAAACGGGACAAGTCCTCCATAGCCAAGTTCTGTCTCACCTTGCAGATGAAGGTTTCCGTCCAGAGGTAATGGAGGAAGCCCCATCCCGCACCCACGCCCTTCCTGGATAGAGCAAAGACTCAATAGCCATCAGTGGGAACAATTCTGATGGCTCCCAGGACCAGTGGTCCTCCAGTTACAGCCGAAGAGCAGCGCAGTTTTCTCCCTGACAGTCTATCCGGAGGCCAGCAGTCTCTGGGCTGCAAGGAGAGGCCACTGTCAGGAGAGAGTGATCACTGCCCACTATCCTGAGGGTACCAGTGCCCTTGGGGTCCTCCGCACACGCCTCAGGGCAGGAAAGACAAGACGCGGTGGGAGGTCAAACCGTGGGTCTGCAGCTGCTTGGATTAAAATGTCCCCCTGCTTGTTCCCAATGCCCTGACCCGCCCAGAGTGGGCAGGAGAGAAAGGGAAAATACATTCAGTCCAGCGGGCATGGCAGAGTTCAAATTACTGAGTCAGCACGCAAGGTCCCACAGTAAATGGACTGAAAGTGGATTCTATTAAAAACCACA